AACACGCTAAGACACGTGGACGGTCTAAAACGAGCGGTTCAATGGGGCGTGGGAGTAGCCCAACGGCGCGGGACGGTGACGTTCGGAATCCGATGGATTGTTCGTAATTCGATTGTACAATAATTACTAACCGGTGCTCGTAAATGTATATGTAAAAGTGTATAAACTCGATTTGTGTATTGCAAGTAAATGAGAGAGAGTTGAGTAAATGTAGTCTTTAGTATTGATTCTTGCATTAGCCTTTGACATTACACAATGGAAGTATTTATAGTGATACTATGAAATGGGAGCCCTTGGATGAAGTGGCACGTGGCCTCATCTCTTTAGTTCAAACGTCTTTTCTTAGGTATGAGGCTTAACTTGCTAGCTTACGGCACATTTATTGCTTGCGAAGGTCCTCCATACTAGTGACAAGACTTGACCTTTATGCTTGTGACAAACGTTCCATCAGTCATTCGAATAAGATCTCTGAGCAGGCGATCTCTTGGGAGAAGTGACTGTAGAGGCAGCTCCTTGTGGTTAAGAGGCTCGTGCATCAGTTTCGGGGCTTCGACCATTTGACAAATACTTCCACTTGAGGACCTCAGCTACATTCAACAGGTTCCATGCTTTGGGTCATGGGCCTTGGTAGTTGGACTTCGGCAGACTCCTGTACATCGGATCGAGGAGCCTCGGCAGATGGACCTCGACTTGAAGCACTTCGGATATAACCCACCTCGACAATGTGTGCCACCTCGGCAAAAATGCCACGTGGATCAGGATGAGTGGGCCATTGGCCTAAGTGGGTAGGACAGGTGTGACAACACGCAACATACTGCATTCTTATATGTATAATGTACACATGCTCAACAAATATGGTGGATCGATTGCCTCCAAAACCACCCATTTCTCTACTCCATAAAGTTTCTTCCTACCAATTTTATAATCCTGACAAGTTTAATCTAACGGTTTTTTTTTTTTTTTTTTTTTTTTTTTTTTTTTTTTTTTTTTTACCATTCTTTTTTCTATTTTCCGGCTTTTGTTTGTTGAGCTCTACACTTCTCTCGGCGTTGTCATGTTTCAAAAAAATTTCAGCTGACGTCATTCACAAGCAAAAGTTTATTAAGGGCATGCTTATTTGAAAAATGAAAACAAGTAAAGTCATTCTTTCTGAAGTAACTAGCAAATTTACTTGTAAGCAAACTTCTTAAGCTTACCCAAAAGTGATAAATTCATATGAAAGGCCTCGGGTTAAAGGTGTATGATACGTGGTATTACAGTATGCAAAGGTTTTGAGGAAATTTTTAGATTTCCGTTCCTTCGATATAATAAAATGAAATAAGGAGCAAGAAGAATATAGAGATAAGTGATGTAAAAGTAATTAGTCAAAATTTTTAGATTTCCGTTCCTTTCGTATAATAAAATGACATTATTATCTACAGCCTGAGCTAGCCTCGTGTTATTTATATACTAACTACTTAAAATTGAAAGTTTATTGCACGTTATTCCAAAATATTTTATAAGTGATGTAAAACTAATATGTAATACTAATTTGTTGGAGGATTTGATGAGATTCAGACGAATTAAAATAAATAAAATTTAAGAGAAGAAAATTGTACTCAAATTATACTCTTAAAATTCAATTTCTATGAATTAAATTTTTTGTAACGATGAAATATTATAAATGAACAATTTTTTTATATTACCTTTGATACATAAAAATTCATTAAATTTAAACACCTATTAAAATTTCTAGATACATAAATATGAATAAATTTATTTATAATAACTCTAAATTCATATAATTCAAAATTCATCAAGTGAAAATTCATTTAATCTAGATTAATGTTAATGTTAATTACTTGAGAATTAATAACAGTTTCATTAATGACAATAATTTTGTAGTATTTATTACATATCGAAAAACGAAAAGTAAGTTATTATTGAAATAATTGAATTGTAGGGAGGTTAAAATCGTTCAAAAAATGACTCTCATTTGATGTGATATATATATATATATATATATTATCCACATAAAAATTTTAAGAGAATTTACAGTGGAGGGTTCAAACTTTTTTAAACAAGTGCAGTGTGGTCTAAACCTTCAGATTATAGTAAAAAGGAAAAATTGCAGCCAGGTACCAAACCTTTAGTTTATCAGTAGATTTGATCCAAACCTTTTATTTGAGCCAACCACGATACGAAATTTTTCAAAAACTCCCAATTAAAGTCCAAATGAATGAAAACTGTTAATTTTACTGTTAGTTGACCAAAGATTTAACATTGACCATTATTTTGACTAATTTTAAAAGGATAAAATGGTAACTTTACATTTTTCAACAAAAAAATAAAAATAAAAATTACAATATATTAATAATTAAATCACAACACAAAAAACTATTCATCTTCTTCTCCATTCGCCCCCACCCACCCACGCCCCAAAACCAAATCCCACCAAAATTGGCACCCATCAAAACACACATAGTGAGAGCTTGATCTCGATCCAAACGGGCTCAAACTGCTTCATTTCTCCAGAGTCCCCCCCCCCGGCGATGCTTCCAACCTCGAGAATTTCCTCAACGACCAACTTCACCGAACCTTAAACAACCAGATCCAATCCCGACCTAGTTCCAACCCGAAATGACCTCGTGTTCGATCGAATCCGAAGGAGGGTAACCAACTGTTTGATGAAATGACCAATGTTCTCTTCGAGCTCTTCAATTATGGAGACTCCGATAATTGTAATCTTCAAAAAAAAAAAATCAAGAAATCCCGTCGAAAACAGTCAAACCCTAGAATTTATATTCCTTCGAATAAAGACATTAATGAGAATATTAACGTGCATTCTGAGAAGGAGTCAAGAAGGGATGATGACAACATTCAAGCGGCTTGGGTGAAGGAGTAGTAAGAATTTATTTGTGCTTGCAAAACGAATATTGTGAGGAGAATAAAATTTTGTTGACAGATTTGAGTTCGATAATAGATCTACACATACGTTTGTGCTTGCTAAATGAACAAGCAAGAATTTGTCAGAAGAGATCTCAACAAGAAGATAAAGGATCTGAAAGTTCATCTGGTTTGTTTGAAAATTATTTTAGCGATTTTGGAGGATCTGGAAGTGATCTTTCAGATTATTGAACTATGCACTTTTTTATGTATCCTTTTTTTAAAAATAAAATTAGATTATCGTATGTATGTCGCTATTTAATATATTTTGTGCTAACTTTAATAAATAATCGTGTTTGATGTATTTTAAATTGTTTTCGTCTTTTAATTAATTTATTAATTATTATGTCTTACATTTAAAATTTATTTTAAATACAAATAATAATAATAATATTATTAATATTAATAAAAAAATAATTTATTTTATTAAAAAATATATAACACAAATGACATAAATACCATTAACAATTTTATTTGAAAAATGTTAAATAAGGGTAAAAGAGATATTTTACACTTTGCACCATTTTGGTGAAAAATGGAGTAAAGTTTGGTGTTGCATTGAAGCAATTTTGCAGCAAAAAATAGTGCAAAATGATGCAATGGTTGGAGATGCCCTAAGAATGAAAGAAGAGGAACGTGATATGAGTCAAGGGAATTTTGATAAGAAAATGGGTTTTGGAGGGTGTTGGTTTTGGGAAGTGGGTGGGGGGTGTTGGAGAATAGTATTTTTGTGTTTTGATTTAATTATTAATATATTGTAATAATTTTTTTTGTTGAAAAATATAAAGTTATCATTTATCCTTTTAAAATTAGTTAAAATAATATTCAATGCTAAATCTTTGATCAACTAACAGTCAAATTAACAGTTTCCATCCATTTAGACTTCAATTGCTAGTTTTTTGAAAGGTTTGGTATTGTCGTTGGCACAAATGAAAGGTTTGGGTCAAGTCTACTAATAAACAAAATGTTTGGTACCTCGACTTCAATTTTTCTTACTAAATATGTCTCAAACCTTTCAGCATTACGTGGTAGAGCCTTTGAATGATTTTAGTCAAAAAATTAATGAGCACAAACACAAACATCACCGTAATTTTTCTTCGAAAATCTTCAATAAGAGCATTGACTCAACCTGTAACTTGCATCCGCTTGAACTTTTATTTTTTCCTTATTTTTATTTTCGTTTCTTTCCAGTCCTTTTTATTTTTTATTTTTTCTCTCATTAAACAAATTTGTAAACTCTAGGGTGGAGCTGCTACATTCAGTCATGGGCCATTTTATTAAATAGTTTGATAATAACAAAGCGCAAATTTTAAACCAAGTAATCGACAGCAGGCATTGACTCCTGCTTGGACTAGCTCAACTCATCTTTGTATAATAATAATAATAATAATAATAATAATAATAATAATAATAAAATTAGAGATAAAATTTTTACAAAAACCATCCGTCCGACCAAAGAAAAGATTTCTCTAATGTGCTCCGAGAAAGCTCAATAACCTACAGAAGGGTTCGAGAACTCTCTCGTGTTCCTGCTCGAGCGTTGTAATCAGTTCATGGATAAGATTAAGTTAAAACTATATAGCTATATGTATGAAAAAAGTAGGAAAATTAATGACACAATACCTATATTCACTTGTATCAATACACAACTCTACTGGATGACAAATTTTGTTGTGAGAGTTGGACACGCTACGTAATATTATCCGAGCAAAATCACACGGTAATTGTCGTTATTGATAACTGGACAAGGGTAATCATTTTTTTAGATAATTGTCAAGGGTCGAGTTTGTCTTGGCAGATGCCCGAGGCACTCAAGATTGAGGACTAGATGTTCATCTATTTATGTCACATTATACAACTAACTTTCTTGATTCTAAAATATTCTGATTATAATTTTAACCTTTTCTAACAAACGATGACGACGTACTCTTTACCATCAAAGACACTAGGAGAATTCAAAAAATCTCACATTATAATACAACACAAAAAACTAATTAACATTAAACAACAATTTAGAGTGTGTACGCGTGTGTTGTACATGTATGTGTGTGAGAGAGAGAGGGAGAGAGATGGTATTATCGTTGGCATAGCAAATCCTGAACTTCTTGGCTTGTCAAATTAAGACTCATGGTACAGTTCATCTCTGCAGTTCTACGCCGTTTGATGATCTTCAAAAGTCGCACTTCACCTTTCAACTTTGCATGACCGCTCAAGTACTTCACCAAACCAGAATCAATATCACTGCTCAAATTCAAATTATAATCTGATAATAACTTATTAGCCCTTACTTGCAAACTCATATTCATTCTCTTCCTCTCTCGACCCTCAACTCGCCCTTCATAAATATTTGCCACCCCAATCGTTATATTTCGATATAACAACGTTGTACTGCTGTTCTGAAATTTAAAGGGCCCGAAATTTTTGTTGTATACTTGAATTTCAGCAACCATAGTCGTGTTTAATGAAGCCAGAGGGGCGATTAGATTTTGGATGGTGATATGAGATATGTGAACTTTAGGGGACTTGAAGGGTAACACGATTAATCTGAAAACGAAGAGGATTATGCTATGAAACAAGACTATGATTAAGATGTAAACCAAACATTTGCTACTTTTTTGCAGGTTTTTCGGTAGATTATGGGATTTGCCTTTTTCTAATGGATTTAGATGGCTTTCTTGATCAGCCATGTTTATGGAGAAGATCTTCTTATAGAAAGGAACACTTAGGGTATAAGCGAGATAGAAGGGGTAGTCTTTGAAATGGCTGGAAAATTGTTCTTTTTTTTTTTTCACAATGGCCTCTTTTATTAAAAATACTATTTTGCCCTTACTATAGTTATTTACAAGATGTATCTTATATTTTTAAGGATTTATCAATCAGGACCTATATCTTTATTTTCCAACCTTTCAAATACCTTTAAATATTCTTTATATCTTGATAGTTCTTCAAAGATTATAAATTGACTTTTTTTGGTTATGTATCCTCGAACTAATTCTTCTGAAATTTCTTCTTGTATATTTCTATATTTAGTTATAATATCTTTTACCTCTCTTATCTCTCTACTAGTTCCTACAGAATCAAATCTTATATTATTTTTACAATTTTAATCTATATCTCTATATATTTCTTCAATTTTTTCTTTACCAACAGGAAATATATCTTCAGATTTTTCATCTAGTTTAAATAAAAACGAAACATCTTTTTTATCTAAAAATAAAATAAGATTATTATCATCATTAGTAGTGAAAGTGGATGCTTGTGAATTGTTCATCAGAATAATTAAAGCATAAGCATGTAAGAACAAGTAAATAACTTACAGTAATCAAATGGAAGTAAACAGGTTTTCCCTCCAGTATGCTCTGATAGATGCTTTGCATGTACTTAATCAATCTTCTGAATCAAGTAAAAATTTAAAATTATTTGGGTCCATAACTGCTTCCGCAAAAGGCTTTTCAATTAAGGTTGCATTTCTCATTCTAGAGAACTAGCCGTGTTTCCACAGACGCTATCTCACAGTATCCAGAGTCTCTATTTTCACCTCTATCCAAACTCTTTTCAGAATCAAGTTCTTACTTGGAACGAAATTTTAAAAGACAACTCACACACAAGGTGCTACAATTTTGTTAGAAAACTGCCTTTTTTCCCCTAAACCATTCATCAAAGACGGGTACTTTGGCATGACTAACATCCATTCAAAATCAATGTTTTGAAAATCTTTTAAAATCTCTATCTGTACTGCCGAGGAATCATGAGAAACTTAACGAAATCCTTTTATGAAAGTTTTGTTGAACATAACAAACTTTACTTTGATATTCATAAACTGAAATTGTACATGCTTACAAACTATATTTACATACCTTTGGTACTCATCTTATGAAGTTTAGAACTCCATAAGTGATTACCTTATTACACGCTTTTCTATCTTCAAGCTATCTAATATTTTTCTGAATGCAAGTGGTGTATACAGATTACAAAAGATCTGTCTAAGTTGTGTTTCCTCTGAGTGTTTAAGAGATAAGCTATTTCGAGATGCATTCCTTTTTCCTCATTGCCTCCTTTTATAGAAGTTTTTGGGAACCTTATCTTGACAGGTGTTTTCCACCTTTCTTTGTTAGATAGCTAGGCCATCTTATCTCCACCGAATTTTTCCATTATCTTCTTGCTAGTGGACCTCTCATTTTGAAATTAGATGCCTTATCTTTTAAATTTGTCTGCCACTTGTAACAATTGGTGGGGTAGTCACAATTATGGAGAATTTTCTTGCACTATCTTCTGTCTTTTAGTAGCCACAGTTTTTCTTTAATAAATTTCTTTATTAAAGTAGTGATAAAGGGCTACTTTTGTCACCATCATTTTTTCATTTTCGAATCAAAGAATTCTGCAGAGAATTTTTCACTATTAAGAGATGTTTGGCTTATATCTTCAACTACACAGTATTCACAATGGTGATCACTGTAATTTCAGAGTAATTTGCATAGTTCTTTAGCCATGTCTTCTGATCCATGCACTTGGTTGGAAATAATTGCAGATAATAAACGGTCGAGATAACAAATATCTTCTTCCTTAGTAGCCATCCTTGCATTGGAATAGATAATATGATCTTCAGATGGATAAACTCATATTTTTTCTTTCTCAGTAATTATCTGAGTTACATGTTTAAATATCTCTTTGTACCCTTTTGCTCTTCTGTAGGGCATTATATTTAGAATATCTTGATATCCATTTTTAACAACATTTTGATTGGTTGGTAAAAAATGTTGATTTGTAAGTCCCATTTTTATCACATGGAACGATGGATGCATATATTCAAGAATGGGATCCCATTCCATGGTTGCTGAATGGAATCTGATATATATATTTGTTGTCTTGACGACTTCGGTATATCTTTTAACAGCTTTCCTAATGTTGGCTGGAAGCTGAGCTATCTCTTTGAGATCTTTGTTAGGATATATACAAAGTATATTTCCTATCTCAAAATAATTTCGAACCCAGTTGGCTGGTGCTCCTGGATAAAAATTTATGTTGTTGTATTTTGAATAGTGGAGAGTCTTCATCCACTTTCCAATCTCCAGATACCAATCTGATAAAATATTAAAAATAATAATAAAGAATGTTACTTCTTCATGGTTATCTTTTCTGGGAATTTTTGCTTCATGGCATATCTTGACAATATCTTTTGGATCTATCATTTCAATAGAAAGTTTAGATTGAGTTTGGTTCTGTGAAGAGCTACCTTCTCTTTTGATATCTTGAATATCTTTATTACCAGTAATAGGTTCAAGTTTTCCCTGTAAAGGGGTTCCTATTACCTTCTTTTCTTTCCCTTTATCCTCGGGGAGAGCGCTAGTATTCACAAGTCCCTGCGAAGGGATACTAGACCTGGTACAAGTAACTTCTGCCTCAAGGGCTATATTTTTGCCTCGAAGGCTATCTTGGATATTTTGAATTTGTGTTTCCAAATAGGAAACTTTTATCTCAAGTATTTGGACTTTCGTCCTTAATTCTTCTAACTCCATCCCTGCTAAGATAATCAGGAAGAAAGTTAGTTTTACCTTTTATGTATTCAATATCAAAGTTGAAATATGAGAACCAAATTTGTATCCTAATAATATATCTATTGGTAATAGATGGATCAACATTATTTTTTAGAAAGGCTTTAATTTGAGTATTATCAGTTCTAATCAAGAACTTTTTTGGTAATAAATAATCTTCACATCTTTGAACTCCTCTTTTTACAGCAATGAGTTCTTTTCTATTCGTCTCATATCTTGTTTCAACTTTTTTGAATGTTCCTGATGTAGAACCTGCAAGTATTTCAGGACAAGAACAATTTTTTTCCCATTTATATTCTTTATGATTCTTTTTAACCTTTAACACTGCTCCCCAATAATAATCTAAAGCATCAGTTTCAAGGATAAAGAAATCTTCTTCTTGTGGTATTACAAGTTTGGACAATACCTTTATCTCTTCTTTTACTTTCCTTATATTTTCACAATCTTATTTTTCCCAAGACCACATTATATTTTTTCTTAATTTTGGAAGAAAATAATTTTTCAATTTGGCACAATTTTCAATGAATCCTTCAGCATAATTTAATATACTAAGGAAGCTTTGTAATTGTTTTTTATCTTTGATTTCTTCAGGAAATTCTTGGAGCTTTTCTCCAATATGAGATTGCAATTGCAATTATTATTCTTTTATAAATAATCCTAAAAATTCTATCTCTGTTCTAGCTATTTCTGCTTTCTTTTGAGAAAGTGTAATACCATGTTTTTTATAATATAACAAAATTTCTCAAGATGTTCAATATGTTCATCAATATTATTTGAATAAATAAGTAAATCATCTACATATGCAATACAGAAATGAGTAATTGGTTTGATTACCTCATCCATCCTTCTTTGGAATATCTGTGGTGCATTTTTCAACCCAAATGGCATTACATTCCATTCGTATTGTCCTGAAGGATTGGAGTACTAAATGCAGTTAGTGGTTTACTTTCTTCTGTAAGCATGATTTGTCAAAACCCTGACTTACAATCAAATTTTGAAAATATCTTTTTGTTTTGTACTTGTTTGATAAGGGTGTCCTTATTTGGCAAGTAGTATCCATCAAATTTAGTAATTTCATTTAATTTCTTGTAATTTATCACCATTCTAACTTTTCCTCTTTTTATCTCACTATGTTTTCTAACCATAAAGAGTGAGCTGCTATGTGGACTTTTACTAGACCTAATTAACTTGACTTCTAGTAATTCTTTTATCTGGTCTTTAAATTCCTTTTGATCATCAACGCTATATTTCATGGGTTTGACTCTAACAATAGTGTCTGGATTGGTTAATTCTATCTTTGCCTTGACTTTGTCTGTATTTCATTTTTCTAATGAATTTTCAGAATATGTTCCAGAAATTTCTTTTTTCAGTTTTTCAATCCTATTTTTTATTGTCATTTTTAAGACTGTAACTGGTTTAAATTTTTCTGTACTCCAACATCCACCACGCTGGGTTGAGGAACTCTGATAGTTTATATCTTTATATGCTATTGTAACAACTTTATTTATTTTTGGTGTAAATATTTTATGTGCACAAGGTGTTGTGAACATATACTTATCAATATATTGTGTAAATGGTGCATATTTTAATAGGAAATTTTGTCCTAATAAAATATCACATCCAATTGTGGTTGACATGTATATTTTATCAACAAATACTTCTCTAAAGGAAATTAGAAAAGGTACTTGCGTAGCATATTTATTGTATATTACCTTATTTCCACCTGCTGTTGTAGCAGTGACTATCTTCTTAGAATTGTATATCCAATATTCAGATGGTAGTACATTTGGTAAGCATAAACTTATTGTACTTCCTGTATCTAAGTAAGCATTAAATTTAATTTTACAATAGCTTTTTATATTAAGTGTAATTTCAATATATGGACTCATGAGATTAGTACTAATTACTCTTTCCATGATAACAATGATTTCATATTTTCATCTATTCTTGATATGATGATTGAGTTATCATCAATTGTTATCTTTAAATATCCTTGGCAGATTTTATAAGGACTATATTTCTCAAGGAAGTTCATTCCTAGTAGAATAGGTGAACGATCTACTCCATATAATTCATCTTTAAATAGAATTATTTCTTTAGTATATTCTTTTTGGTCCTCTCCTATAAGTATAAGA